TAATGAAATCAAGTCTAGAAATGAATGTGTTAGATCAAATTACCAACGAAGGAACTACACTTGCGACTATATACAGGAGTAAGTGATCGATTCGCGATCTTAATTCCAAACAAATTAATGAAGGATAATTCGTTCCAGAATGTTTGTGGCTAACGGTGACACTATTTGTCTCGCTTTCTTTATATAATCCTCTTGTGGATCTCATCGCGCCATTAAATGAAACACGGCCACGGCAACACTTGTTTCACGTGAATTACTTGTTTCTAGACGAAATGGAATACTTTTGGCCGGTGTTCGTGCATTTAAGTTTCGTTGCTGTCGCGACCGTGATAATCATAATCACCATAGATTCGTTATACATTGTTATAATACACCATGCTTGCGGAATGTTTGCGGCATGTGGGTAAATATGATTTGATTCTGTTCATTGGATAGGAAGATATTATAATGTCATCGCAATATACAGATGTATAGTTTGGAAGCTGCAATATTCAATTTATTCAATTTATTCAATTGAATCGTAATGCGAAACACGTGTTTCTAGNTAATAGCTACTATCAATTACTGAGCACAACTTGAACAACACTGAGTGAACAAACATCTCAGAAACAACATACTTCTGATACAACATAATTCAACAGTACATAAGAATGTGGGAAACCTTGTACAAAAAGGACTTCGATCGATTCTTCGAGGACGCACCGCAAGCACTTACAGCACTTCTTAGTACTGTAAAATTATTGAATGTCTTCTCAAATAAAATGCGTGTAAGTATGAGCATGTCAAAAACAGAACGTATGCCTATACTATTGAGAGAAGAGTGTTTTTACGTACGAACTGTTGTAATTATCAAGCATTATATTACGCATATTTAGTTTAAATATTTATTCAATTATATAATACGGGGAAGGCAATTAATGAAATCAAGTCTAGAAATGAATGTGTTAGATCAAATTACCAACGAAGGAACTACACTTGCGACTATATACAGGAGTAAGTGATCGATTCGCGATCTTAATTCCAAACAAATTAATGAAGGATAATTCGTTCCAGAATGTTTGTGGCTAACGGTGACACTATTTGTCTCGCTTTCTTTATATAATCCTCTTGTGGATCTCATCGCGCCATTAAATGAAACACGGCCACGGCAACACTTGTTTCACGTGAATTACTTGTTTCTAGACGAAATGGAATACTTTTGGCCGGTGTTCGTGCATTTAAGTTTCGTTGCTGTCGCGACCGTGATAATCATAATCACCATAGATTCGTTATACATTGTTATAATACACCATGCTTGCGGAATGTTTGCGGCATGTGGGTAAATATGATTTGATTCTGTTCATTGGATAGGAAGATATTATAATGTCATCGCAATATACAGATGTATAGTTTGGAAGCTGCAATATTCAATTTATTCAATTTATTCAATTGAATCGTAATGCGAAACACGTGTTTCTAGGCACCTTGTTCAGAATGCAACTGAAGATACAGTGGAGAGGAAAGGTGGCATCATCGATGATCACGGATATAAAGAATATAATCGATGCATAAACGTGCATTACGAAGCTCTTCAGTTTGTACTTTTACTAATAAGAGTAAAATATAACAGTTGATATAATTTAATTTAATTTTACCTATGACTCGTTCATCACATTTGAAGATTTTACGACGTCCTCGATGTTTGTTGCCGCAATTCGTACTTGATTCAAATGGGTATAAATATGATGCTCGTCAGCGTGACAGCTGTTGAGGTATTGCACTTATTTTTTGTAACAATATATATTGCTACATATTAATTAGGGGTGTGCGGGTACCTGAAAATTTGGATCAGACTCAGATCGGAAACTTCTTCGGGTTCGGGCGGGATCCCCAAAGTTTGTCGAGCACATATACAGGGTGTCTTAGAAAAAATGCTGGAGCCCATGAAAGGTGATTCTGTAAGTGTTTCTGAGCAACTATTTCCTTTGGCGATATGCAAAGTGAGGCACGGTTTTTGAATTATTAACGAAAAACACTGACCAATAAGAGCGCGAGCGCCACGATCCAAGCCAACCTATCCATGACTGGGCGCGGGGCCCACGCGTATTCTCATTGGTCACTGTTTTTCGTTAATAATTCGAAAATCATGCCTCATTTTGCATTTTACTAAAGGAAATTGTTGTTAAGAAATACCTCCAGAATCACTCCTTTTCGGCTCTAACACTTTTTCTGGGACACCCTGTACTTGTTCGAGTATCCGAATGTCAACTGAACTCGACTTGAGACCAGCGTTGAGATATTTTTTCCCTCACGGCTCGCTTCCCCTGTTTTTCGCCCGTATTTCGATCCCCACTACTATTCTCCTGATGCGCCTTCGCTGACATGCCTAGCATACCCCCATCAAGTACCAGTCCCCACCATGGTCGCGTCGTCCCCACTTTCCGGCCGAGAGAAAAAATATCTCAACGCTGCTTGAGACACACAAGTGAATTCGTCAGCCGTCACTGCATGTGATCGCGATTATACACCATACCATATGAAAACACTTTTAAATTTAAAAATATAAGGTCAGTTTGAAGAATCATGTTGCAAATATAATGACGGCTTTCGAGTTCAGTTCGGCCCTGCTGATATCCAAGTCCTGTAATTACGGATGCGCGAACTATATGTGCTGGTCAAACTTTCAGAATGAGAGGCTTGAGTGTCCCCATTTCTGGGTACCCGCACATGCCCTAATATTAACCATCATCGTATAAAGATGGGTGTTTTGTGTCTGATGCGTTTTCTCTATATTTGAATTTCAGTAAAAACTGAAAAAATTTAAACGTCAAAGTGTTACTTGTTATTTTGTAGTGAAATCGATATATGTATTTCAGAAAAAAATACACACACATTGCTACAAATAATTGTTTAATACAAACAAGCCAATATTCGAATTTTGCCTGGACACAAATGACTCACCTTTACACAGCAAGATTTAAAGGTGTAAAATACATTGCCATACGACTATGTAAATACAACGTAACAATAATCATTTAGGTAAATCACTATTGGAAAGAGGCAATAAAATGTAAATATCGATTTTTTAGCTAGTTATATTCTTTGATCGACCGGCTGATGTTATCAGACTTATTTCATACCTTGCGGCTCAACTGTTTCATTTGTACATGATAAGTTTACCCGGACAACGGTTATTGGAGCAAAGTTTGGCAGTAACTGATAAAGTGTAAGCATCCACAAACTAAATCGCGAATTTCTTATAAAAATTTAACGAAACTTAAATTCTTCTTGCGACAGATGGTTTTCCAGATGGTACGAAATACCTGTCAGGGCTCAAAAGATGCTCGTTTTGATGATATTGAGGGCCAATAAACCGTGCGTATTAACAGCAGCAGGTCTATATCAAATGACAATAGAAAGTTTCGGGATAGTATGTATAATAAAATATGAAAAATATTATTACCTTATTGTTTTATACAGAAAAGTATGAATGACTACTAACAATTGAATTTCTTTCGTTTCAAGACTGTTAAAGCATGTATGTCGTACTTCGCAATGTTCTTATCAGTGAGGGAATAGTTAAATGTAAAATCGTCGATAGTAAGATATTTCGCGATTCAAATGTTATATGTATATGTACGTACATACATTTCAGCGAAGATTCTATGTATAATTATAAATGTAAGTAGTATATAAATTATCATAATAAAAGAAATGTAGCGTGTACATACTACATATTTTACACAGATATGAAGTAATTTGTAATTTTTAGATAAAATTTTCACGTTTCTACTTTTTACACTTGTATCATTTATAATTAATTATAAGGATTGCAAAATTTCTTTCACAAATGTGCCGAAATTACCATGACTACTAGACATCGTCTAAATAGAGAAGAATTGAATACAGGGCTATACAAACTCCTTAATATTACAGGTACAAAGGAATATAGTAGATATTATCATAGACTTACTCCAATATAATCTACTACTTTACATTTAGACGAGCCTTAACGTTTGATCAAATCGATACGAAATAAATGTATTATATATCCATATTGGCATTCCTGGCAATTGCACGTTTATAGACGTAAAAGACAAGTGCATGATAATCCTCTGTACACTCCCAAGGAACAATGAACTCCCATGAATGACAAGTTTTATTTACGCGTAATTGGATACATCGAGAAACTTTGTAAAGTCGATTTTCATATCAGAAATGTTGCAGAATATAATTACGAGTTTTCAGCCTTAACTTGTGATCGACCACTGAGAAATTGCAATTTCGTTAGCGACTATGTAACTACCGCATGACGTCACGTTGGAGTATGTCACAGTCCATCATTAATATTACTGTTATTTCATAATTCCGCGGATATTGATTGTCGGTTTATCTACAGTATTCGTACGGTTAACTTAATACTATTGTTATATCTTAGGGCTGTTAGTGATATGTCTTAGACCTTTAGATCGGGACGATTCACTAAAAAACTTCTGCTATAAACGGTAGCTGCAATATACCATCCGCGTTAGTTAAAAAGATGTTCGGAACGAAAACTGGAAACGTGGATAGTAAGATATTCCTTGATTAATAAAAAAGAGATAGAATAAGTGTAGCTTGATTTTGAAATATGCTAATAGAAAACAAACTTCAAAAAAACTTAACATTAGTTGCCTCTAGTATTGGCATTGAACTATCATATAAATATCAATTGCATGATGTTATTACTACTTATATTAGTTTCTAAACTCGTATTGTACTATCCATGCTTCGAAACATAAGTTTTAGCGTCGGTACTCAGACTTTCAGGAACGTGCGGACATTTCCAACGCGTTCGAATTA